AATTCCATCTTCATTGTAATGGAAGTAGCACTGATCTGTGCACACTCCTGTATCACGCTAACTGAGAATTAGCATGGATACTGGATGTTGCATTCCCATGAACTCTGCTGAGCTGGAGCCAGTTAAAACCTGCTCCTGCACAAGTCAGCTGACTTTGTACTGACAGCCAATGAAAGCTTACACTCAAAAGGCAAATGTTAGCGAGCGTCAGAAGTTTTCTGATGTACATGCATTGACCTAGATAGAGATCAGGGATCAGTCCTTTGATAATGAGTATTTTCAAGTCTTTTCTAGAAGTGTGTGCTGTCCTCATCACTGGGCTTCCCAGATTGAACGACACTTGCTCTGTAGTTTACTAGAGTCATACCCTCTCACGCTGTCTGTGCATCAGTGATGGAGCCATTTTGGCTTGCGTAAACTTAAGAGTCAACATTTTGTCTTCAATGACACCCTACACAGGCTGCTAATACAAGGGTCAGGACTCCTGAGGATCAGCTTCTCTGACCTCACTGTAGTCCAGTCCAATAAGTCCATTATGAAGCCAATTCATTCAGAAGGGTGAGAGATTAAAGAAATAGCAATAGGTCCTTAAAATCAGCATTTTGACATGGGATTATAAGAGATTTGAAGATTTTTGTTGGTCTGTCTACAAAACCAGTCATTTAAAAGACATGTAAACACTATGATCTGACTGAAATAGGACTATAGCTGTTCTAACTTTGCCTTAAGTCTAATTAATGCTCGGTCTCAGGTAAAAGATGAGGATTATGACCACCTGCCTTTCAGACAGGGGGATTTCCTCTTGCCAAAAGAGTTATGATTGTCAAGATGTGGTCAGAGAGCATCTGAAGGTGTCCTGAAGTGTCTGGTACAAGGACCTTAGCATCCTGAGGGTTGTCGAGAGATCTCTGTGTTCTGGACTTGATTCCAGCAGATTCTATCATATTCCATCTGATCCGCATCACATATTGGTATTGTTATAAAAATGTTAAGTTAGGGGCATCATCCCACGCAGTGCCTTGAACAGTGCTCACACCTGATCCCGGTACCCTCTTTAAGCTATCTTTATTCTCGGGATGGAGCATTCAGTCAAAGTTGGATGTGAATGATGGGAGGTGGAAGGAGCACCTGGTCGAGTGCCATAGTCCAGTTTTTGGAGGAGCTACATCTCTCCACGCAGATAGGTCGGTGCCAGCTGAGGTCAAGTCTTGGTGGATTTTGTTTCTAATAGATTGAATTTTATCATTAAATAAGCTCATGAAGTCATGGCTAGTGAGAGCTATGGGGGTACTTGACCCAATAGAGCTGTGGCTCTCAGTCAGCCTGGCTACAGTGCTGAAAAGAAACCTGGGTTTGCTCCTATTTTCCTCTATTAAAGACGAGTAATACGGTGCTTTGTCATCATGGAGGGCCTTCCTATAAGTTTTAACACTATCTTGCTAAATGAATGAGAATTTTCCAGTTTGGTGGAACCCCAATTTCTCTCAAGTTTCTGTGATATTTGCTGTAATTTGCTAGTTTCCGTATTATACCATGGAGCTAACAGTCTTTGTTAAAGTATTTTCTTTTTTAGAGGGGCTACAGAGTCGAGTGTTGTTTGCAGCGAGCCTTCAACACTATCAACAAGATGATGGTAGTTGTTTGTTTTTCATGAATCATTAGCATGAATGAGCAAATTGACAATGACAAAGACTTTTCATATACACTAAAGCAGTGTTTACTCTATATTTTCAGCTCATTAGTATTCATTTGGAAAGTATGGGGGGGGGGCATTTTGTACACAAATGTGCTGCATAGTTTCCTTTTGTATTGCAGTGTTCATTTTTAAGGTGGCAGCAAACACCTTGGAATTAAGAATTTATTTGGAGAAAAGCGTCTGCTAAATGCAGAGACATAAACATAAAGAATGGCTCAAGTGTTCAAACGTCCCAGAGAGTGCTTTCATGGACGATACGATCAGTCGAACTACCAGAAAACAACTCTCTGGGCTTCATTTTCTTATTTTTTTTATTATGAAACTGGTCAGAAGGAGACGTATTCACCCTTCCTGTTGGGTCAACTTTTCTGACACGTCCATGGCCATTTTACGCTATTTTTTCATTTTTAGCCAGCAAACATCTAAGATAAGTATTTAACAAATACAGGCATAAGACTTTAATTCTTTGGCCCCACTGGCCCAAATGCCTTTCTTAAATGTGAGTGTGGAGATGAGCTGCAGTGTTCCACAGTCAGCCCTCAGTGGACCAGTTGACCAACCCACTGAGCTGGTCAGCAGACCTCACCGCCCAGTGCCCCATCCCTCTATATGTCCATCCACAGAAACCTTCCAGTAGGGGGGCAAACACTGTATAAGCCGTTGTTGTGCCGTTCCTGCTCTGTCATCTACTGAGGACCACTTCATGCTTGGCTCTTTTAAAAACTTGTTTGCAGGTGTCACTGAAAATATGATCACACCCCGATGCCTGAACTAACAGCCACCTCTCCATAAATTCATAAACAGATCCGGACACTTAACACCTGAACTCAAACGGCCCATAACTGCACTGTGATTGGTTGAGACCCTATAGCTGTAAATTAATTTTGCAAGTACATGGAAGTGTTTGTGTGTGTGTATTGGTGTGTGTGCAGGACAAAAAGCAGTTGGACACAGACAGAAGTGTATATCCTGTGTCTGACCAGCACTCCTGGTGGAGTAATGCCCCACCCAAACACACTTCAGTGTAGCCCCAGGTCTCACAAAATGATTACCTGGGGAGAGTAACCCCGTTTTTCCAGTAATACATTCATGTATAAAGAGTTCTATTTGGATTTCTTGTAGATTTTTTTGATTGAAAAAGATAACCAATTCATTTACGAGCAGCGCTGGTTACCAAGACAATAACTGGACCTACTAAATATATGGCAACTGCTCAAAAGATGTAGACAAGCATTTATGAGGTCAAATGAGTGTCACATATTGCGCTCATTGCTATTGAAGGTAAGTGCAAAAGAAGAAAAAAGGCTTAGCACAATGATCCAAATGACTGTTTTTATATGTCAAATCTCTTCCATCAGCTCATATTTAATCGTGCCTACTTTACTCCCAGCATGCTCAGGAAACAGTGCACCACAGGCTGCTGGAGGATCCACTTAATGGAATGACTGCACCTTTTCTTAAGCGACCTTCGTAAAACTGACGTTGTCAGCAGGGGGAGAACGACGTGTGAGCGGGAAAAGAATTCTACGAGGTCCAGTCCTTTGTTTCCATGGCAGGAATGTCAAGTATGCAGTGGGAAACAAGCTGCTCCCCTATTCATCTGTTCATGTGGTCATACTCAGCAAGGTCTCCAGTTCTGGGGTGCAGCAGAGAGGAGGCCAGCACTGCTTCCTCTTTTTAGGATGCATTCAAGATATGTAAGTTCATAAGAAACACTGGGCCAATTGAACATGAACAGCAGTCCTTTCTCTACAGCACAGTCAGGAGCTTCTCATTAGCAACCACAATGTCCTTCAGTTAACAATACCTCCATTTTCTTTCCTGTGAGCAAAAAGCATCTTACTGTATCATCATAACTGATTCCGCAGCACTAATGCGGTCACAAGCCACACGTGTCATTATGGCCAAAGGCTTCTCTGGGGAGTTAAAGGGGATATTTTACTAAAACACACGATGCTGGCTCATTTTAGAGGAAGTGACAGATGCAGCATAGAATCACAAGGAACTGCTGGTCTGATTGCTGCCAAGAAGAGACATGGGGACTAGCCTTAACAGCTAAAAGCTCCAGGTACTCAGACACAGCTGGATCCTTTCTTTTCTCTCAGACAGCTGCTGTCTACAGCCATTGTGTTAAATGCTGGAAAAACTGGGAGTTGGGGTCCTCCCAGGAAAAGTCTGACTGGCTTCCACCCAGAAATCAAACTAATGACAAATTACAAAGTACAGCTGGCACATCTATGGAGACACGTTTGCAACAAATCCCCCAGGTGGAGGCTTTGGGCCCACCATTCAGTCACCCAGCTGGTGGAGACTTCTTTTCATCCTTCAGCCTCCACCGTACAGAGGATGCTGTGTGCCTCCACGTCTGCCCCAGCTGGAAGCTGAGGAGTTTTTCTGGGCTCCGCCACTGTCCTGCTAACAAGACAAACAGGACCCATCCACACACAAACCTCAAGAACCGAACTGCGTCCGGTAGCTGACGGCCGGCTGAGCCCGGGCCGCCTCTGACCCGGGCTCTTCTGAGCCAGAACACCGCTGAGGCTGAAGAGTGGGAGCTGACACGCCCGTGTTTCTCTCCTTTTCATGCTCACATAGAAGTCCCCACGGGGGGGCAACAGAGCAGGCCCTGGCAGATTTGACCTACATTCTGTTAAGCCACGTCTCTTTGTTGGCTCCAGGAGGAGCAGGCAGCTGGAACAAAGAACACCAGCAGAACACAACCCGGCCCTGTCCACACACAGCCGCCGCAGCCTGTGGAAGCTGGGCTGGATGCTCACAGTCCCACCGGCTGAGATGAGGCAGGAGAGGCCCCCCGGTCATCCCACCGGTGCGGTGGAGCTGGGAGGAGGGGCCCTTAGCGATACAGGGACCGCGAGGAAGGAGTCAGGATACTTTCCCTGCTGGTGGAACAGGAAGTCTTCCTGCAGATATCACACACCTTGTAGACACGAGGTGTCTGAAAGCTTTCAACTTTATGGAACTCCACCATCACACACCTCGCTGTGGAACAAATGCTTTGTTCCAGGTTTCACTTGATGAAACTGCCACTCCACAGCAAAGCTGGGAGCTCAGCAAAAACTGCTCTCTCCACAAAATATTTCCACCTTTTAGAGCAGCCGAATGAGGCTTCCAGTGCACTGGTGCAGCCTGTCATCAGCGTGCACATGTGCTCATGATTGTGAAACTATCTGGGAAATGGGGCACTAACTGCCAGGAGTCTTCCCATAAAGGTAGAAAGCCATGCGCAGCTGTAAAGTCCTGCACATCACAGTGGCAGATCCTGTCAGAAACAGTCCAGCTTTACCTGCATGTGCTCTGTGGAGCTGCTGCTCAGCTCGTCCCCGGACTCAGAGTCACTGCGCAGCTTCCTGAGCTGCCCCCCTCCAGGCAGCTCATCTGGAGGGAACCCTTTGTTGCCCTCTCTGAGTGGCGGGGAATCAGCCCGTGTCCGTGGTAACGAGGAGTTGTTGGTGTGCTGATGGTTGTTATTGTTGTGAAGAAGGACCAGTTCTGCCACCAGCTTGCAGTGGTGGGGGCTCCCGGCGTTGTGGTTAGCATCCTTAGGCAGAGCGGGTGGAGTGGCACGCTCAGACGACGGCGAGGGGCTGGACGAAGGCGACGGGCCACCAAAAGTGGACATTTCTGGCAGAGGCCTGTTGGGGCTCTCAATGGACTCATGGCAGAAATCCAAAACGGAGGGCTTCGCCCTCACAGCGGGCTTCTGTGGGGGCAGGAACGCCTGGCGCACCTCCTTCACATACTGGGCTGGCACATAAAAAGCCTTCGTGTCTTCATCCTTCCTCACCTGCCACCAGTCCTCGTTGGTCTTCTTCACCAGCATGTAGCTCTCCCCCTGATGAATGCTCACCATCTTGTCTTTGGCCTTGTACTCATAGTCGTACTCCACCTCAATGTACACCTGCCCTGGGGCACAGGGCAGCCCCTCCCTGTCCGCCATGGATACTGGAAAAACCACTTGGTCTCTGATCTCAGCGGCTCAGCAACACAGCCGTGGGGGGGTCCTCATGTCTGACTGGAAAATCTGGGCTACAGGAGACAAGACAGACAGGAGAAGATATTTATCAGAGGTGTCACCAGCCAGACTTTGTCCACGACCTTTGAAAAGCTGGACCCTAACCACATTTCCATGGTGTGAGGCTCCAGTCTGTCACAGCCCACCTAGCAACAACAAACAGTCTTCCTTAAGGACATGGTGGACTGGTAGGTCCAGGGCGCCGTCCAGAACCTGCTGATTATCTGGAGCTGATGGTGGTGACAGCATGAGCCGCATACACTGAGCCCACATGCAGTCCACGGAGCACAGCGGCCCCCGGAGGCTGCATCCCAAAATAAAGCTGCTCACTTTACTCCCCTCCTCGGAGGTGTGTTATCACCACTCCTTAGTGGAAGCTGCCTCTCACAGTCCATCTGTGAGTTGGAAGACAGCCGGGTCCTGTTTCTTTGGGGACGGAGCCTGACATCTATCTGCCCGTCAGAGACTGGGACTCAGTCACTTCATCTAAATGAATACTGGCCTGGCCAGCTCCTCTGCCGCCCCATGCCCCAGATTCAATTCTCTCTCTTCCTTAAGAAGATAGCTGTCAACACAGACTGAGATCCTGGAAGTACAGGCGCCAAAGCAGGTGCTGTTAATAATCTCGCTGTAAAGGAATCTACAGTTCACAGACTCACCTTCACGCCCGACTAGTTTTACAGCGCAGCGCCCCAGAGTGGAGTCCAGGGGGGAGGCTCATTCTGACCGCAAAATCAAAGCTAAATAAAGTCCAAATACACTCATTCTGACAACAGTTTTTACACTCAAAGCTAATCTAGTGCACTATAAATGTGATAATGTTCCATCAAACTGGTACCCATGATTTAGCCCTGCTCTGACGACCAACAGTTTTTCCACAAATGGGCTTACAATCACATAAATAATGAAATAAGTAGCAAGAGCAACAAATTAAGCACATAAAAACTAGATAAGATGCAAAGTAACAAAATAAACTGTAAAGCAACTAATTAAGCACAACAATAACTCAAGAAGCAACAAAACAACAAAATAAAGTAAATACTGTGGCTTATTTTGTTGGTTTTAAATGTTTTGTTGTGTTGAGGCTTTTGTGAGGACATGCTGTGTGCACTGTCATCACCAACAGTTGTTGGGATTTATGTGTGTGTCAAATAAACAGTCAACTTCAGCCAGACCAACCCCCCCCCCAATCAAACCCTGTAAAGGTTCATGGATCCTGTACCTTCCAGCAGTGTCCCAGAGCTCAGGGGGGGGGCTCCCGGGGGGGCTCTGGAGGGGG